GACAACAGAAAAATGAGAAGGAACCCAGTAGAGGGATGCTTTTGGAAGCCCTTGTCAAGAAATTCCAACGGACTCTCATATGAACATTTGAAAATTGCCCTGTACTGACTTTTTTCTAGTTCCCCGTCTAGAACTTGTAATGCTAATTCCTCTTGCCTTTACTTCTCCTTCACATCTCCTATTCACGTTTCTTTTCACAATTCAAAGACTTTCTTTTCCTCCTCGAGATAAGAGTTATGCAATTCGCGAGTGTTTTAGATAGACCCTCTTCAGAGGATGGTGTGATAAGTTCTGACTTTTTTCTAGTTCCCGGTCTAGAACTTGTAATGGTAATTACTCTTGCCTTTACTTCTCCTTCACCTCACCTATTCATGATTCAAAGACTTTCTTTTCCCCTTAGAAACAAGAGTTATGCAATTTGGGAGTCTTTTAGATAGACCCACTGAAAGTGTACTCCAATTGCCCCACCCTGTGTCCCTGTTCAGCATGGGAGATGACAGAGTGGTCTGGGTCCCTATTCCCTATCGGCAATTTGGGTAACCCCCTCAGAGGATGGTGTGATAAGTAAGAAAGTAATGAAGTTATCAGAAAAATGTGATGGGAGATATTGAAGGAGTTGGAGGGGAGGAAGTAGGCATGGATTTGATCAAAACACCTTATATGTTTGTATGAAATTCTGAATAAATTATTTATTTAGGAAAAAAAAAAGAAATATACAAATGAAAATCACCACGAGAACATGTAAAGCACTTGGAAGTGGTTTTCTTTGTCATGTTCCAAGAGGCCGTGGCTGTCCCCTCACATCAAGCGCAGCCTAAAAGTAGGCAATGCTGTGTCCATGCCACTGGCTGGTTAAGTTCAGACTCCAGGCAAGGCTTATTGGCATCTGGGGTATGGATGGGTTGGTTAGCTGACACGTACCCAAATGTCTGCCTTTGTAGTGATGATTTTACCACTGTACAAGTTGACCATTTCTGGGGCTCGATAGGACAGCGTTGTGTATCTACAATCAAAAGAACCATGTTTTGTTAAGTTTATCAGTGCTATCATTAAAAACAAGGAGCAGCAAGTTTGTTTCCACATTACTAGAACCCAGTTCTCTAGTAGCAATCTGCAGACAAGCATATGAAATATTAGTGCACAAAAAATGAAAGACTTCCTTTGGTATAATGATGGCATCACATCCTCTCACAGCAGACCTTCTAAGTCCTAGGACATGGGGACACTCAGACATGAATGTACTACATAAATCCTGAGAGCACCTTTCCTGGGGTCCTCGAATGACAAAATCTTCTACAAATCTTTGTAGTCTGACACTGTTTTGCTTCTTTGTTTTTAAAATAATAAATCCTTAACACGTGGCTCAGAGTTGCAACATGAGTAAGATATTTTGGAAAACAGCAGAAAGTCAGCCCTGGCTGGGATGGGTGTGCAGAGGGATTATGTGTGTGGAGACAAGATACTGAGGCTTGCTGACTTGTGGATCTAGCTTGTCCCAGGGATCCTGTCTCTGCCTTCATAGTGCTAAGAATGTAAACTTGGGTCCTCACGTAAGCATTTTATCCACTGATCCATCTCCATCTCTCTAGCTTCATGATCTTGCCTTAAGGCTAAAATCAGTGTTTTCCTTATCTTTGAATCAAGAAAACAGTAGTGTTAAGCACATGTTCCAAGTGAGCTAGCTCTCTTATGTTACTAACCATTAAGTCATGTTGCTATCGTCTCTGGCCCCCTGAAGGGACTGGTTTGGGTATCCATCAGGGCCTTGAACCAGAAATGGTCCTACCTCAGGCATGGTGGCTTGGGTGACACATGAAAAGGGACAGAGGCTCTGCACTTACAAGTCATGCTAGACAGCTGATTTACTAGTAGGCATAGCGTGTGTTATTGCCTGGGAAAAACCCAATATTGTGGGCATGAGGCTATTACTGGAGTCACAAATCCAAAGGGGTATCTTAGAGAAGTCAGTGATTCAGTAACTATAGAGACTTTAGCAGCCTTATTTACCATAAATTCCAGAGTGTGGCTGAGCTCATTATGAACAGAGAGGAGGTAGAAATTTAAGGTCCAGTAATAAGTACATCTGAGCCAGGCATGGCAGCAAACATGGCACTTGGGAGGCAGAGGTAGGTAAGAACGAGTTAAGAACAAGGCTAGCCTGGTCTACATAAGTGAGTTCCAGGCCAGCTGGGGCTACAGGGAAACCTTGTCTCTAAAACAAACAAACTACAGTACATCTATCTGATTCATGTCATAGTTGTGACTTCACTTGGAAACACCATGGTATTCAATGACGTACCACCACTCAGCTTTTTTTTTTTCCCCTTTTGTTTTCTGAGACAGGATCTTGCTATGTAGTCCAGGCTGGCACTGAACTCACAATCCTCTTGCCTCAGCTGCTAAATTGCTGGGATTATAGGTATGTATCACACCTGCCTGCCTTCTCCAGCTATCACTCATCTTTTTATGGGCATATGACATTGTAAATCAAAGTATAAGTGTACGGTGACCACAGGAGCACTGAGGAAGGGTTACTCCTTCACTTCAGTTCACTAGGGCAGTCATGTGAACTCTCTCCTCAGCCTTTAATTACAATCAAACAACCCAACAATAGGCACTTTGCTCTGGGATAAAGGGTAAATGAACATAATTTTCTTCCCACTCTGCCTCATCCATAAACTGAAAGGGAACTTGCTCATCTGATAATGGATGAAACTCCAGGAAAGGAGAAAAGGCTTACTTCTTAATCTCATCTTCTACTGCATTGACTCCCTCAGCTTGTGGATTCTGGAATTTGTTGGTGGCACTTCCAAAGTCACACAGGACATAGTGGCCTCGGTCATGCAAGAGGATATTTTCAACCTGAAAAATATTCCCCAAGAACCCAATACAAGATGTCACTTAGTAAGGCGTGGGAAAAGCTGGTTTAACAGTCATAAAAATAAAAGGTTTCATTTCTGCAATCTTATTAGTGTGCGCAGGAAAGGAATTCGCAGTATTTCAACAGGGCTTGCCCCAAATGAAACATAAAAGACCCACACAGGAACAAGGCAAAGTGAGGGCAGTCACTCAGAGGAACTGCACAGTACAGGAGTCAGGGCCCCGTTTTCTAAGCTTGCCAGCCATGTCTAGTCCCACTTCTCAGTAACAGTCCTCATTCTTTCAGACTTGCTCTACTTTCCATTTAGAGTGCTCGCCATGATCCTAGCCTCCTTATTCAACTACCAAATAATCACCTGCCTTTCAAATCCAAGTACAAAGGCATTCCTCAGGCCCCCACTCCAACAAATGCCACTTCCTCATTTTCCTTCAGTATTTCATTCTTCCATGTTGTGAATTACTACACTTTTTCAGTGCAAGAAAGTATTACATTAAGAGTTTAAGAGCTGAATTTTTAAAAATACATTTTAGTGACTTCTCAAAGCAATAAAACACCTGGTGATATTGGGCAATTTCTGCTAGAATTTTACCTGAGGGTTTTTTTTTTTAAACCTTTTCTTGTAAATAAATGAAGTCTCAGGGAGTTCATAAAGATTAAGACCTAGAGAAACCCCTGTACCAAGGAAAACAACTCCAAAATACTAGGCGCAATGTTTTCGAGATGTACTGACTTGATATACATGATGTAGGTCAGGCATGGCTATGCAGGGAGAAAAATGGCAACAAAAAACTTTGCTTGGCTATTAAGACCGTAGTTTCCATGGTCTCTGTCTTGAGTCTCCAGAGACTGACTACTTTTGGCAAGTAAAGGCAAGAGCAAACTGTACAAAATTCAAAGGCAAGCATCTTTCAACCATATTTGTAGTTTTCTCTATCCAACTCTACCATATTGCTGGTACAGAAAATATTTGTTGAATGGAATTTAGAAAAAAAAAACAAAAAACAGAGAAACACCTAACAGTATGTGTGCGGGCAGGCACACATGTGGAGACTCAAGGACCATGTTTGTATCAGTCAAGACAGGAGCTATCAAATGCTCAGGCTCCCTACTAGTTCTTTAAAAATCACTCTCTCTGTCTCTGTCTCTGTCTCTGTCTGAGACAGGGTCTAACTATACAGCCCTGGCTGGCTTGGAACTCAGACTGCTAAGATTAAAGGCATGTGCCACCAACAACTAGCATAGAAACTCTTGTTCCTATT